GTAATCCGTGATCTGTAATCAAGGCTATTTACTGAGTGCCTCTCATGTGCCTACCCGAGATGTCTGAGATGTGTCAATGTGCCTCGGACAGGGGGAGCAGTCAAATGGAGATATCCCAGGACTGGAAGAAACCCTGAGACTAGTGGTTATGATGAATGACTGATAAAAAGACTGATGGATACAGAAGTCAGTTAGAGGCTGGTCTGACCTGTAGCCAGCCTGGGTTACACAGGCTCGCTCTCTAAACAAAGAGAGAAAAATAACAGAGTCCCTAAACGTAAGCTGTACTCCATGGGACAAACATCCAGAAGACTTCATTATGTATGGGGATCCCCCCTGCTGGGAACTTCAGTTTCTTATTGTTAGGCTGTTTGGTTTCCTGTGGTGCTGATGGGCACACACACACATACACACACACACACATACACACACACACACATACACACACATACACACACACACACACACACTGTGGTGGTACTGGTTAACAACTGCCTGTAACTCCAGCTCCAGGGGGATACAGTGCCCTCTGTTGGCCTCTATAGGCACTGCATTTACATGTACATACCACAGACACACACACGCAGACATAATTTAAAATAACCAGAAATCTGTTTTGTTTTGTTTTTTTACCAGATTTTTACAGGCTTTTACGGGGCTTGGGGTGTCAGTCAGGTGACAGGGCACTTACTGACCATACACAAAGCTGAGCTCCATTTGCGGCACCACATAAACCTGGCACTGTGGTACACAGCTGTCATCCCAGCACCTGAGACGTGCTGATGGGGGTCAATCGGAGGTTTGAGTCTGAGGCTAGCTTGGGAGAAGTAACACCCTGTCAAAGAAACAAAGACAAAGAAAGAGACAGAGAGAAAGAAAAAGAAAGGAAGGAAGGAAGGAAGGAAGGAAGGAAGGAAGGAAGGAAGAAAGAAAGAAAGAAAGCTAGCTCGCTCGCTCTTGCTCTCTCGATCCCTCTGTCCCCTGGCCCCTTCCCGCTTCCCTTCACCCTCTCTCCACATGGTCATGGCCGGCCTCTTACTTCTCCAACCTCTCTTTCTGCCTCTCTGCCTCTACTACCCTCTTAACTCCCTTCCCCATGCCCTGAATAAACTCTATTCTATACAAAAGAAGAAGGAAAAGGAGGAGGAGGAAGAGGAGGAAGAGGAGGAAGAGGAGGAGGAGGAGAAAAGAAGAAAAAAAGGAGAAAGAAATACAGACAGACCTATAAATGTGCATATCTTTTAAATGGCAGTGGAAACATGGCCACAGAACCACAGAGCCAGAGCCATGGGAATTTCACCTAGCCCGCTCAAACAGTACTTCGAGGGTCATCAGACTGTTGGCAGAGAGAGCTTCGGGAAAGCGACTGTATGTGAAGGGCCGGGTCTCCAAGTTGCCTGGCAGGTTCAAGGAGCCAGGAGGCAGCCTTGCAACACAGGAGTTGAATGTGAGCAGCTGCGTTGGTTACAAAAGACTTCCAGGCCCCGTGGATCTGTCAATCACTCAGGGATTTCCAATGGACTCTGAGGCTGCCTGACATTGCACTGATGTCAAGACAGGCTTGCACAGACCATGTGCAGCTGAGTTTAAACATTGACAAGATATTAGCCCCTGAGGGAGGAACTCTGTGAGAGGGGGACCAGAAGAGGGAGCGAGCGGCCTTTGGGATGTAAATAAATAAGTTAATTTAAAAAAAAATTATATATATATATATAAGCCCTGCTTTTGAGATATGGCCTCCGTTTATTGGAGGTGAATTCAGGAACTCCAGAGGGGTTGACACGTCACGGGACATGTTCCTTTTTGCATGAGCTCTCGGTGACAGGCACATTCCAGGATTCCAACTTTAGAAATACTGGGCTACGGGCCAATTGTGAGCCAGCAAGATGCCCCAGCAACAAAGGAGCTTGCTGTGCAAACCTGGTGACCTGGGTTTATTTAATAGCCGGACAAGTAGGAGAGGATCAACTCGACCAAGTCACCCGCTGGCCACACACGCACTGTGATGCATACCCACACAATATGCACGCATGTGTGTGTTCACACAGACACACATGGAAGTGTAAGGTAAAATTTTAACTTAACACTGGACTGTGAGTCCCTTAGGCTGTACTGTGAGACACCTCTTTGTCATGGCTAATGGTAACTATTATTACAGGATCCAGAATCAAATCACAGAAGAGTCAAGTCTCGCGGCATGTCTATCTCTGCATTAGGTTGAGGTGTGAAGACCCGCCCTAACTGTAGGTGGCATCGTTGGGGCCCTGGACTGAATAAAAAGAAGAGAGCGAGCTGAGTGCTGCCATTCACCATTTTGATTCTGACTGGGGATGCCTCGTCACAGCTACTTCAAGCTCCTGTTGCCACGCCCTCCCGCCATCCTTGATGGATGACATCCTGGAACTGTGAGCCAGAATAGCTCGGTCAAGCCACTTCGATCAGTATTTTGCCAGTAATGTTCTTCCTTTTGTCAGTCAGATCCCACTCAACCGTTTGTTTATTTTGGTTTGGGTTTGGATGAGATTTAACCTTGTCTATCCCAAGCTTGCTCTGTAGATGAGGCTGGCCTCAAACTCACAGATTCATCTACCTCTGCCTCTCCAAATGCTGGGATTAAAGGTGCCACCTGGCTTTTTTTTTTTTTTTTATTTTTTTGATATGTACAGGGGTGTTTTGTCTGCATGCATGACCAGAAGAGGGCATCGGATTGTGAGCCACCATGTGGTTGCTGGGAATTGAACTCGGGACCTCTGGAAGAACAGCCGGGGCTCTTAACCGCTGAGCCATCTCTCCAGCCCTCCATTCATTACATTTATTTTGTGTATGTGTGCAGGCACATGTATACTATGTCTCACATACGAGGAGCAGAGGACAACTGTGGAGACTTAGGTCTTCCCCTCCACCATGTGAGTCCCTGACCACTACTCAAGTAAGGTGGTCAGATTTGGTGGCAGTGACTTTACTCGCTCAGCCTTTGTGCCCCACCCCCACCCGTTTTAAGATAAGGAAGCCGAGTGGGCTGTAGTTCCGGTTTCATCCTGATTATCACTTAAAAGAAAATCTGAAGCAAGCGGGCTGGAGCGAGCGGGCGAGCGGAGGCGGAGCGAGCCGGGGCGGAGCAGAGCGAGCCGGGGCGGAGCAAGAGCGCGAAGGGAAAAAGAAAAAAGAAAATCTTACATCTTCCAATTAGTGAAAGAAAAATCACATAAAAAAAAAAAAGAGAGAGAAAAAATAAATTCATGATTTTACATATATGTAAATACCAGGTCACATTGTTTGAAGCTGGATAAAACCGGCCTGAGTGTGGAGAGGAGGCTCACCCCACTGACTCGTCTGCCTGGAGGGCAGTTTGCACGAATCAGAACTGAAAAGGTGCATTCCTGTGGACGTGACTGTCGCAATACAAGGAACTCCCACAGAAAGCTAACTTGTCACAGTATTTCTTGCATGAAGGACGGGTGTTTGCTGAAGTGCTATTTATACCAGCAAAGAAATGGAATAAGAGAAGTCAGTTGGTGTGAACATCTGTAAAACGGAAGTACTAATTCAAAATGCGAATGGCAGCCCCGGAACTGAAGACGAATTCCATAGAGCAGTGTGTGGGAATGAAGTGCCTAGGGCCAGGGGACGGAGGGGTTGCAGCCAGACCGGGCAATCTGAGTTCCATCCCCAGGAGCCACAGGTGGAAACAAGAATCGCCTACCAGATTGTACTCTGGTTTTCACCTGTGCTGTAGTATAGTATCGACGTGTTCATGTGCACACGTGTGTGCATCTACACTGGATGGTTACATAGATAATAGAGATGCAGTTAAAAAAAAAAAAACAAACCTTTAAAGAACAGGCAGAAAAGAAGGCTCAGTGGTTAAGAGCGTGCACTGCTCTGTAGAGGACCCGAGTTCAGTGCCCCACACCCAACCACCTGCAACTGCACCTAGAGCGTTCCACATGTGTTCATGAATGCATGTATTCACGCGCGCGCGCGCGCGAGCACACACACACACACACACACCACCCTTTTTGGCTTTTCAAAACAGGATGTCTCAGTGTAACAAGCCCTGGCTGTCCTAGACTCTGTAGGCGATCCACTAGCCTCTGCTTCCCAAGTGCTGGGATTAAAGGTGTTTCACCTCACCTGGCGAACTTGTTTTTTTAATTTTGTTAAGTGCCTAACTGTGTTTTCTAGTGTTCATACGAAGACTTAACTCTTAAGGCTGTAAGGATAACAGTGTATTTTGTTTCTTCTGGGAGAAAACCCAAGCCACCTAACCCATCAAGGAAGCGTTGAAACGGAAGGCACTTTGTTTCTCGTGTTCTCTGCTCTGCCACAGCCCAGGCCGCCTAGAGATGCTTCTCTCCAGTGACGTTTCCACGAAGAGCAGAGAGACAGCCTTCTCTTGCTGAGCAGGTCTGTCACAAGAGCACAAAAGCATCAGCACATCCTCCTTCCTTTGGCAGATTAGACTTGAAACAAGCCTGTCTCTCTTTAGAATAGTCTTTGACGTGCTAATCCACAGGTCCCAGTGCAACCACCGAATTAAGATTTTAACTTGCTAAAATCAGTTTTCTCCTTCCTCTACCCGGGTCCTGGGCTTTGAACTCAGGACCCAAGAGCTGATTTTTCCTGATGTCCTCAAACTCACACAATACTTCTGCTTCAGCCCCTCAACTGCTGGGGTCACAGACTCCATCCACCATCCAAGGTCAGTCTGAAGCCTGGAAGCATCTGGTTTTTGTTGTTGTTCTTGTTTTGAGACAGGGTCCCTATGTAGACCAGGCTGGCCAAAAACTCACAGAAATCCACCTGCCTCTGCCTCCCCAGTGCTGGCCCAAAGGCCTGCACCACCACATCACTCCTCTGTGAGCACTGCTCCGCTGCTCCGTACAGACCTCTGGAGGGAATGATAGCACCTCCCTGTGGCCAGCACATCACACCCAAGCTCACCTCAGAGGGCTTTCACTCTGCCCAAAGCCCAGACACAGTAAGGAAATACCCGGACGTCTGAATGCAACGCCTTTTATTTGTATTTGATGATGAGAATTAACACACCCAGCAGCTCCAATGACTTTTGCTTACCCCACTAAGAAGCAAGGGGCTTAACAGGGTCTCTCTCCGCAGCAGCGCTGTTCTTTAAAGGGACATTGATACCTATGCAGCCACCTGACCTGGACAGTCAGGGCTCAGCTGAGATGGGAGACTTGGGTTGTCTCAGTCGGGGGACAGGTTCCTAAAAGCCCACCTCTAAAGATGCCACCGTGCCTGGTTCTGGACCAAGTCTCTTTGTTAACCACTCACAGACAACACTAGCCCAGGCTCTCCTCTGTGGACCTGATCCTGGCAGAATGTTTTATTTTTCAGAGTTGCTCTTTTTAAATCAATGATAGAATGACTCCATCAGAACACCAGGTACCTCCCCAGGTGGAACCTAAATTCAATCAAACATAAACTGAGATGTGACTATGCAGAATTATAATGACGGGCAGTGGGAAGACACCCTAAACCTCTATCCTAGCACAGCTGAGAACTCCCTAGGAGAGGGAAGGAAGAACGGGAGAAACAGCATGCTTTACACAACTTGATACTGCGGGCTCCCAGGACTGCTGGCCTCCACAGTGCCCCTACTTCCCTTCCAGCTGCTCGTACAGTTTGGGCACGTAGTCATCCCACTCTGCTTGGTAACACGTGCCGGCCACCGGGGCACCCAGGTTGTACTTCTTGCGGAAGGACTCCACCTTGAACTTGGCACGGTTGTCTCCAGACTTGTTGCTGAGGATGGGCTCGTCGCAGCTCAGAGGCTGCGCCTGCTCGTACACCAGCCAGACATAGCGGTGGAGACCTGCAGGAGAGCCGGAACCAGCCAGAGGTAAGCGTGGGGGTGGGGGTGTGCTCCAGGGACTGCTCCTGCCGAACATTCACACATCTTCAGCCTGGCTTTCCACACGTGAACCGGAGTGTAGTGGTGCACACTTGTAACCCAGAACTTGGATTGGGAGTTCCACTCTCAACTACCCCAAAAGTTCAAGGACAGCCTAGGCTACACGAAATACATCAAAATCGTATGGTTCTTAATGGCTTTTTAAAAAGACATTTACAGGTATGAAGATATAGCGAGAAAGAAATGGATACCATCCGTCAGAGCGCTCACCAAGGAAGCTGCAGTCCCATACTTATGACAAAAACAGTGAGCTGCCAGGCTTCACACAGACTCACAGAAACCTTACACGAGCTGTCAGAGTATAAATTGTCCGTTCCTAGACCTAGGATAGCTATGTAAGCACAATGGAAACCCTGCCTAGGAATACAGAAGGCACACAGTGGCTCTATTCATAACACCACATCCCGGCTACAGCCCAAGTACCCAGCGAGAGGAAGGCTGAGCGTGCAGGACACTGCACAGGGAATACTAATTAATGAAAGGAAATCAACTAGTAACCCAAGTCAGACTCAAGATAAGTCATACTGTGGCCGCTCACCAGGTAACACACCCCAGCCATTCTGACCACAGGAACATGGGATCCAGAGCGGCCCATGGAGACCTGTATCAGAAAATGCTGGGCTCCAGGGGACCAACAGGGACAAGACCACCTCTAAGATCTTCAGGGTGACAGGAAGAGGGTGTCCTCCATCTTCCTGGGGTGTCTAGGTGTGTGTGCCTCAAATCCTCTGCCTGAAACCTTCTGACCACCAGTTTACCACGAAAGCTAACCCTTCCACAACCCGAGAGCCACTGGGGTTTTATTCTTCAAAGCAGAGCTCAGCTCCAACTCAAGGGAACTGCTCTCCTCCCCAGTGTCTCCCGCCTATAATTAAATCACCTGCTTTTGTAGGTGCCCTGGAGAACCTTAAAGAGTCCCCAGGAAACGTACCTCTTTATTCTCTTATGAACACTGAGAGGCCTTTAAAGCATCTGGAAGCTTCTAGGCCTGCGGACACAAGGTGAGCAATGGCCCTTGTCCTTCCTGGACACTCAGTACTCCAGTCTGTCCTCTGTAGGACAATGCACACAAGCTGGCATTCTGCCAAGCATCACCCACCACAGCGGTGGCCTTGTTCCACTGAAAGGGAACAGCGTGTAACAAGCAACCAGCAGTAACTGTGTCTCCCACCAACTTCCGGGATGCTTAGGAGACTTGGGGACATTGTGTGACTTGATTCTCATGTTCTGAGTCAATACAAAACACAGAGAGTGTGAGTGTGTGTGTGTGTGTGTGTGTGTGTGTGTGTTCAATGTGGCTCACTAGAGCCTTCCAAATCTTTTCAAAGTACCCAGCCACATTGTGGAGAGAAAGGGAGAGTTATAAAGAAATGTAAAAGGTAATCTTTGGCATTAGTATAAAGTGTTTGCTTCCTGTTTACAGGATCAGAAACTTTCAGGTTCACCCCAAGCAGTGAGGGCATGGAGATGGGGGGGGGCTCAACTTCATTTGGCCCACACAGACCCAGCAACCCACCCCAAGCCTCCTGCAGCCTCTCCTTCCCTCTGTACCCGGGACACTTGCCAGAGAGCTTGTCTAGTCTGAGGCCCTGGCTCGGTTGTTTCAGATCCACCACAGATCATACACCGACACATTTCTCTAGGAGTCCAAGAAGTGGTTCTACAGAGGGACCGCCCCATTAGAACCAAAGTTCTGGCTCCCACATCCTACAGGCTGAGTGTACTGGAAAGGACTTACCTGAAGGGGAAGGCAAGCAGGCTTCTGTCCTCACAGTAAAGCTTGGAAAAGAACCCTGTGGCAGCCCCCCCCCACCTGCCCCCATCCACTCCCACCCAGGCCATCCCAGCACTCAACCAGCCTCCTCTCCCACCCTCCCAAAGGCAGCCTTTACTTACCTGTGCCACTCGGAGGCCCAGAGCCCACATAATCGGAGAGGACAGTGCCACTGCTAATGTCATTGCCTTTCATGTTGACCACCAGGAAGTGGTGCCATTCCCTGCAGAGAGAAAGAACAAGGGACCATGAGCACCAGACGTCGTCGGCATACACCGAGCACATTCTCCATGCAGGGCTGCAACAGGCAGAGGATACACTAGGAAGCCACAGCAAGTCTGAGGGCTGCACCCCACAAGAACCTGTTCCTGGGGCCAAGGATGTGGCTCAGTAGTCCCAGCCTGTTTGGCATGAAGCCCTGGGCTGTCTCCCCACCACTACAAACCAACTGGAACCCCAGGAGGTCTCTATGCCTGTCTAGCAAGAACTTCTACCAGATTAAATCATATCTGGATGATAGCCACTCCCCATCTTTTCCCCAACTAGCCTGAATTTGGGGTCCTTCCTGCTGGGAGCATCCGGGTCAGTGAGGACCAGGGTGTAGAGTTTCCCAGGATCAAGGCCGTCCCATGAAATGCTGCTGGGCCTGTTCATAACCTGAGGAAGGAACCAGTTTGGGGTTAAAAAGCTAGAAATGCGCTCAAAACTCAATCCTTTGCAACCTTATACTCCTAAAAGGTAAAAATATGAGGTTTATTACTTTCTTGTATTCATTTCTTTTACTACTGAGACAAAAAAAAAAAATAGCTTATTGTAGTTTCACCCATGCAGATTAGTGGAAACTCCTGCGTTTAGCCTCTACTGAAAACCTGAAGCTTGGGCTGGAGAGACGGCTAAGGCCCAAGAATTCTTGTAAAAGGTAGACATTTTCCAGCACTCCTGCCTGGGGGAGGGGGGGATCCACACGCTCGCGCGCTCTCTCCTCTCCTTCTCTCTCTCTCTCTCTCTCTCTCTCTCTCTCTCTCTCTCTCTCTCTCTCTCTCTCTCTGACACACACACACAGCCACACACTCGCACATAATTAAAAATAAAACAAATCTTAAAAAGACAGAAGTCTCAAAAAAAATTCTAAATAAATTAAAAAAAAAAAAATCGAGCCGGGCAGTGGTGGCGCATGTCTTTAATCCCAGCCCTTGGGAGGCAGAGGCAGGTGGATTTCTGAGTTCGAGGCCAGTCTGGTCTACAGAGTGAGTTCCAGGACAGCCAGGGCTACGCAGAGAAACCCTGTATGGGGGGGGGGGGGGAATTCGAGAGGCACAAGCAGACAGATCTCTGATCTCTGTGAGTTCAAGGCCAGCCAGGGCTAGAGTGAGACCCTACATGTAAAACACACACAAACAAACACACACACACATGCACACACACCAGCCTCAATAACACTTCCCGCGTTATTAACAGAAAGTGGTGGGACAGGAGTCCAACGGCGGCAACGAGTCCTCCTCCACAGCCTCACTGGGGTCCTGAGCTACCCGTTGCCTTTAAATATGGTGGCCAACGGGCCACTTGGGGCCAGCTGGGGTGTCATCTGCCTTCGGAAAACGAGAGCGCCCAAGGACACGTACAAAGTTTGGGACAATGGAGACCGGCCAGGGCTCCGGGTGGAAACTCTCAAGTCACCATCCCAAACCCTGCGCTCTCCATCCGTAAAGAGAACGGTTAGACCCCGTTTCTCTGCGCTTGGAAACGCTCCTGGGCGTCGGCACCCCACCCCCACCGTCACCCGCACCGCCACGAGCAAGGCAGGTAACGGGAAGGCGCTGGCCCCGGAGCCGTTTAAAGGCTGCTCCCTGGGGGTGACTGAAAGCTCGGGACATTAGAAGGTTACAGAAGAGGCCTCCGGCTGTCGGGTGGCGCTCCTGTCCCATAGCTGGGGCTCCAAAGGCCGAGCTGGAGGTCCTGGGCTCGAGGCCTGCTCCAGCCCGCGGTCCCCCGGTCTCCCCGGCGGCGGGCCCACGCCGTACCTGGGTGGGCGTTAGCACTTTGCCCAGCTCGTCCACCGACACCCCACCGTAGTCGACCCGCAGGGGGTGCTGGGGCGGCTCGTCGACCTCCTGCAGGCATAGCGGCCCGGCCCACTGGCTGATGTCGGCGGCCATGGGGACGGAGAGATGGAAGACACGCGCTCGCCCCGAGGCCCGACTGTTGTTAACGTAGAGCGCTTGCGCAGTTGACTGCCGCCGCGGGACCAACCGCGGATCAGGGCACGCCCCCTCGTCCTCTGATTGGCTGAGCCGGAGTTGGGCGGTCCGAGCGCCAGGGTCACGGTGAAGCTTCCCGCGTGGTGCCTGCTGCAGGCCCGTGCGCGCAAGGCTACGGTTGCAGATTAATGTTGCCGCTTCTCCTCTGTGTTTGAAGGACTCTTTCGCAATTCCCGGTGATAAGGCCATGCATTTCTTCAAACGAGCCTGGTCTCTTCCCCGCGTTATCTTTTGCTGTCGTTTTAAAAGTTTTTTATAAATGCCAACGAAATTCAACCTCCCGGGAATCAATCGATGCCTTGGGCTTAACTGCGGAGTGTGGGTGACTCCAAAGCAGCAGCTCTCCAAGTTCTGCACAGATGATGGCCTCCCATCGCCCGCTAAATGCCCACACTTGAAACTCTCTTCAATTAACCTTCCAGCTGGAAATGTAGGCAGAATTGGATCCACATGGTTGGGAGGAATGGCTGGATCTTGGTTGAGGCTTGAATGACAACCCCGCCTCCTACAAGCCCCATCTTCACGGTGCCTTCAAGTAGCAACCGCTGAGATCCCAAAGGGCCTGAAAAAGGCCTTTTACAGGCAGTGTGACTTTACAAGACAAAGTACAATTCAGGTCGCCAGTCGATAACCTTAGAATGTGGATACTTCCTGGGTGGCTCCCAAGTCATCCCAGGGATCCTGAAAGAGAAATGGAAAGCGTAATTGACAGGACCAGACTGAAGGGAGGCAAGCAAACCTGGGCTAGCCATCGCCAATTTTCCGGTTGGATACCAGCAGCTTCCATAGACTGGAAGCGGTCAGAAATGGATGGACCTAGGTTTTTACAGTGTGTCATTAATAGAAAACAGAGGCACTCTACCCTTCAGGAACGATATGACCCTTGATTTGTTTGTTTGCTGGTTTGGGGTGCTGTTGTTGTTGTTTTTGAGACAGGGTTTCTCTGTAGGCCTGGGTGTCCTGGAATCTGTTTACCAGGCTGGCCTCCAACTCAGAGCTCCTCCTGCCTCTGCGTCCTGAATGCTGGGATTAAAGACCTGTGCCACCACGATTTTTTTTTTCACCTACTTATTATATGTGGGGGTGGGATACTGGACGTGCTTGCCACAGGTCCAAGTCTAGAGGTCAGAGAAAAATTATGAGAGTCCACGGCTCTTCCTATTGTACCACATGGTGTCAGGGATGGAGCTCAGGGGTCTCTTTTGTAAACTTAGAAAGATTGTTGTAAGCTCCACTCAGATCTACCTCTCAGGGATCAAACGAACTCCCTCCAGAAAAGTATCCCTGTCAATCAAGAGCTTAAGTTCCCACCTGTTGCATATTCTACAGGGTGGGATTCCTCCGAAGTTCCCTGGTTTGGGGATTCCCCTCCCCCAACCAAGACCATGGGATGGGCCTAAGGATCTCAAACTTCTGAACCTACTTAATTTTGATTTCCCAGGTATTTGTTACAGTGTTGGGAATCTGACTTAAACAAAAATACTTCTCAGAACTGCATATTAGCTAGGCATGGTAACACAGGCCTTTAATCCCAGCCTTCCCTTGGGACACAGAGGCAAGTCAATCTCTGTGGCTTTTCAAGGCCAGCCTGGCCAAGTTCCAGACTAGCCAGAGTTACGTAGAAAGACCCTATCTTACAAAACAAGCAAAAACAAAAAAATAAAAATGTGCACTGAAGCTGAACAGATGGTTTAGTGGTTAAGAATCACTGCTCTTCCAGAGGACCTGGGTTTGATTCCCAGCATGAATGACAGACAGCTTACAATTGCCTATATCCCCTCCAAAGGATCTGATGCCTTCTGCTGGTTTGTGTGGGCAATGCACACATGTGTACACATACACACACACACAGAGAACAATGTTCTTTGAGCCAGTTATAGAAGACTATGTCTGCAACACTAGTTCTTAGTAAGCTCCAATAGGAGAAGCTTGATTCTAAGTCTAGCCTGGGCTATATACACTATTGTAAAAATAACACTGTCTTTTAGTTTTTCAATTGTTTTCAAAGTGTGTGTGTGTGTGTGTGTGTGTGTGTGAGAGAGAGAGAGAGAGAGAGAGAGAGAGAGAGAGAGAGAGAAAGGGAGAGAGAGAGTCGTGAAGAAACCAGAATAGGGCATGAGATTCCCTGGACCTGGAGTTACAGCCAGTTGTGAACCTTCCAAAGTGAATGCTAGGAAGTGAACTCTCATCCAGTGAAAGAGCTGTGGACACCTTAATTGACCAGCCCTCTTTCTGGCCCCTAAAATGTGTATTTCAAAGCAGTTGCCTAATGTGAATAACCTGTGAGTTGTGTGATCTGGAGTTAACTGTTGAATATAGAGGTTCCTCCTTTCCTTGTTCATCCAACAGCTCAGGAAGCTACTGGAGCTGTAAAGCCAGCGGAGAAGAAAACCCAGGTGGCCCTGCTGTGGCCAGAGAGTGGCTCCAGCTGTCTCTAGGATTTGGGACAGAGAGAGCATCAAGGAAGTTTCCTTGCTTGAGCTAAGGAGCTGGGTATCCTTGATTATGTGTGCATTCAGGAGCCCATAAAGGCCATAAGAGAGGGTTCAGATCTCCCAGAACCTGTTTGTGAGACTCCTCATCATTCTCCAGAACCAGAGACATGCCCTAAACCTCCAGGTAAAGACACAGTGGGGGAGGAGGGGTGTAGGGAGCTTCTTGTACAAACACAGACTCTCTGTGCCTGCTGATTGTTCAGAATACTATTCAGTATGGTGTCAGTCAGTTGTGTGTTACTGTAACAAATGCCCATGACAATGTGACAATCAGACTATCAAGAAGAAACGGTTAGCTGGGCACTGTCTGTGATCAGGTCTTCCCACTGCTTTGGGGTCTGCAGTGACCATAGCACAATGTGGCAGCCAGTGTGTATCAGGGCAGATGAAGAGAGAGTGCGATTACCAGAGTCACACAATCCCCTTCAAGAACGTATGACTAATGACATGAGTTGCAGTCCCAGCCTCTAGCACACTGGCCCCTGGGAGCCGTTTAAGGTAAAAATGATGAGAGGTGGGAGTGTGGGGATGGTAAGGGTAAAGAGTCAGTCCATGTTTGACTTACTGGTTGCTCTTGCAAAGGACCTGAGTTTGGTTCTGAGCACCCCAGTGGCAGCTCATAACTGCCTGTACCTCCAGTTCCAGGAGGTCTGCCTCCCTCTTTTGGTCTTTACAGTCTCCTGCATACACACATGCACACAAACTCGTAAAGGCGTATGCACAAACGTGTGCACGCACACACAGTAAATAGTAAAATAAGAGTTATAGATAGGCCTAGGATATGGCTAGAATATACCACAGCCACAGCAGAAAACAGGTCTAGGGGTGCACATCTGAGATCCCAGCACTAGGGAGGTGAAGGCAGGCCAGAAGCTCAAGGTCATCTTTAAGGCCTAGAGAGTTCCAAACTACTGTGGGCTATACTCGACCTGACTCGAAAAGGCGGGGTAGGGTATTAAAATTATAGCATGTGTTAGTTAAAACAAATCAGGGAAGCAGCAAGAGGAAGATTGATTGATTGATTGATTGATTGATTGATTGATTGATTGATTTATATGCAACCAATGCCTGTGTCCTTTTTCTGGATTGTCATTTGTCAGTCCATGGGTCCAGCCTGTGGCTCCAGGAGGCTCTGGTTGTGGGTAGACTCTGGTAAACCTGAGGATTGTTTTGATTGGTGAGCAGGGTGGGGCGTTCACTGATATGCCTGGTCAGCAGGGCTGCTTCTTTCTGGGAGCCTCTGTATGCAAAGGGTGTCAAGGGAGGCTTAGAAGAAATCAAGGCTCTGTGTACCCTGGCGGTACAGTACAGTGACAACTGGAAGCTACCACTATGAGGCACAGAGGGTCTGAGAGTAGTGACCTCTCCACACGGGAGCTGGCTGAGACCAAGGACCCAGACTGAGCTATGATTTGGAAATTGCCTTCTGGTTGGTCTCCTGGATTCCTACTTCTTGGGATTTCTCTCTCTCTCTCTCTCTCTCTCTCTCTCTCTCTCTCTCTCTCTCTCTGTGTGTGTGTGTGTGTGTGTGTGTGTCCTTAATAATCTCAAAGCTGCTGAAAACACACCCCATACTCTCACTGGCTTCTTTCAAAAAATTCCTTGAAAAGAATCAGGAAATGTCTATATTTCTTTTTGTGACACGCTCTCATGTAGCCCAGGCTAGCCTTAAATTGACTATGCAGCCTAAGCTGGCCTAGAATTCTAGATCCTTCTCGTATTTAGTTGGCTCTTCAGAGATCCAACAGCTCAACTCTGTCCTGAGCTCAGTCCCTAGCCTCAGTTAACCCTTTAGAGCAGTGGATCTCAACCAGAATGTTACATATTTACATTTATGATTCAAAATCATGGCAAAATTACTGTTACGAAGTAGCAACAAAAATGATTTCATGGTTGGGGTAATGGTTGTGGGGTCACCACAACATGAGGGACTGTATTAAAGGGTCACAGCGTTAGGGAGGCTGAGAGCCACTGGCTTAGACAATTCCTTGAGAGGCCCCGGGCCAGCAGTGGACCAAGCAGTACCATGGCCAAACTGCTGAGTCACAGATTCCAGGAGGTGACAAATCTGTGTTGCCTTAAGGCTCAAAGTTTGAGGTGATCGTCACACAGCAAGGGGACCCCTGCAGCTTGCAGCCTGGTTCCATCTAGTCCGTGAACTCCAGAGGGAAGGCGTCTCTCCCAATACCCCCAATACTTTGTGGACTGAGTTATGTGGTCAACCCGAGTTGCCTGTTTGTCTCTCTTTGGAATTTTTTTAAACTTTTTTTTTTTAATTTTAAGATTTTATTTATTTTATGTATACGAATACACTGTAGCTGTCTTCAGACACACCAGAAGAGGGCATCAGATCCCATTACAGATGCTTGTGAGCCACTATGTGGTTGCTGGGAATTGAACTCAGGACCTCTAGAAGAGCAGTCAGTCAGTGCTCTTAACTG